TGGGAAGAGTCATGGAAAAGGATTCTCACAAATGACATGCAAAAGTTGCACGTCAAGATTCTTGCGACTGAATGCTCTTACAATGCAAATAAATCCTTTGTGTTGCTCTTAGGCTATGTTTGGTACATTGAGTAGAGTAAGATATCGGGTGAGTAAGGCTCCTTATCTACCTTATTCAGTTTTTAAAAGAAAACCTTTTTACGGTTATGGTAAGACACCACTCACTTGGGTAATGTTTTAAAACAACTAAAATGACTCTTTATAATTTTCCCTTTGTCCATCTATCCTTTGACAAAAATAACACAACTGTCATCCCTACCGCTACTCCGTAGGTCTTGCCATCTCTGTCCCAACTTGCAATTGCCACTCTAACTAGTACTCCTACTATTGTTGTCATTATTAATCATTACTACCAATTAGTATCATCGTTACTATTGTTGCCACCACCACTGTATCATTGCTGCCACTACCACTACAATTGCCATCACAACCACCACCATCGCCCCACTAGCTGGCACCACCAACATCGTTGTTGCTGCTACAGTCACCACCATCAGCTTCATTTTGTCTTCACTTTTGCTGCCAGTACACATGCCAAAATAACCATCTCTACCTCCTATACCATAGTCACTATCGACCGCCGCCGCCGCCGCCTTCGCTGTAGTCACTACTGACCACCACCACTGCCAACCCCACTGCCGCTCTGGCCACAACTGTCACCCTCATAATCACTACTACTACCACCATCATCGTTGCCACCGCCTTGTTGTTGTTGCAGTGGCTGCCGCTGCCATTACCATCATTACCACCATCGTCCTCATCAAAGCATTGTCATCCCAATTATTGTCACTGTTGTCATCACCACCACTCATCACTGCCACTGCCAACACTAACCCATCATCACTACTACCATAACAACCACCAATTTGCAATATGAACTAAGAGTATATGATCTTTATGCTGCAGTACCCAACACAACCAACATTGCTAGATAAGAAAGTTGCAAGATTTGGCTTGATTAATAACGAAAGCCAGTTGGGTGCAAACTAGGTTAGTTGCTAATGAGCTTTGGGCTTGGCGGGCAACAAGGTAGGATGATGTTAAAAAGAGGTTGATAAATCTTATTCCATTTTCCATTTTTAGGCTAGCCTAGAGAGAGAAGAAATTAAGGGATTTTTTAGAGAAAATGACCTCATCATTTTTAGGGTTAACATTTGGCTTCAAACGCTTACCCTATTGAAGTGGTTATATTACCAATGAAGGGGGAGAATTACCTAACATAGATTATCTTTTTGTCTAAGACCCGTTGTATATGACGCTATATACAGGAAAAATGCCACCTTAGTACCTTGTGAATAACAATAAATTTTCCCATAAATAATAATATTAATTTTATTAAAATGAAAACAATAACACTTATAACATACCATAAGGGGTTAAGAACTGAATAACAAACTTAGAAATATTTTCTTTCAATAGTCCTGCTTAGTTGTTTATAAAGATCAAAGTACACCTCAGTGCACACAAGAAAGCATACCTCATCTGCGTGAAGCTGGCTAAGATATGGATGATTACATATATTACGAAGTTCCATCACGGTGTTGTGAACTGATCTAGCCTGAAAAATGATATCTGCATAAATATAAACAGCTGTATTTAAAACAGATAAAACTCCCTCAATATAGTTAACCTTTGAATTTCCAATTGAACCAAGATTCTCTTCAACCCTCTTCATCAATAGCTTCTGATATGCAGAAGCCTCGCATCTTATAAGTCTCTCGATCTTTTCAGGAAGTTCATTTTCAACCTAGAAGAGCGCAAATAAATAAGCATACAATAACTATCTTAACAAAATCACTAAAACAAAATAACTAACAAATTTATTTCTTCCAAGCCACTAGTACTACCCTCACTTCAATCAACAAGCTTCATCAAAGAATTGTTTAGACGTAAATTGTTTGCCACGACCATTCACGATGTTATAAAAAACATGCCAATATGACTACATAAATTAAAAGTTTGCAAAGGAGAACATTATTAATTCATTGTCAAATATCATTTTAAGAACCTTATGTTTCAGTCGTCGAAGTACAAATGGTCGAAGAACTTGGTGAAGACGGTTTATGATCAATAGATTTTCCTCTTCAGATAGTAAAGCCTGTAAAAGAGCCAACATAAGTACAGATCTTTTATCTACAATATCCTATTATCAAGTTCTTCAGGAAGAAAAAAAGCAAAGTCTGCGTGTATCTCAACAACAGAAATAGTTCAATGCTTACTTCATCTGCTGAATTATCCCCGTTACTCTCAAATGGTTTGTTGAACCATTGAGAAAAATCCTCTGATGAATTAAATATATTAGGCAGTAAGAAATTGAGCAGTGCCCACAATTCCTCCAGATTGTTCTACATAAGGAAGAATAAATTGAGTGAGTAAACTGCATGACAACAACAAGAGGAACAATTAATTAAAAAAAATAATAGAAGTATAATGATTAACAACAAATAAATATTATACTGAATAAGAAGATATAATAGAAGTATAATCATCAATAACAAATAATTATTATACTTAATTACAAGTGTAATAATTCTTGAAAAAATAACTAATAACAAAATGGGAGGAGAACAAACGAGGTTTAGATTCTGTAACCTGTAGTGGTGTTCCTGTTAATAGCAACCGATGAGAACTTTGATAGTGCTTCAAATCTGCATTTAACTTGCAAGACGCATTCTTGATACGATGGCCTTCATCAATTATAATATAATGCCAATGTATTTTGCTCAATTTAGGTCTATCATGCTTGTTCATCAGATACTCATATGTTGTCAGAAGTACATTGAATTTCTGATGAACAATTTGCTCCCTGAAATAAAAGGAATATGGAGCTTACACATCCAGTGCAATCATAGGAGTGAAAATGTAATTATTTCATGTTTATGTTTTGGTACCTGAATAACCTACGCCTCTCTTCTGGAGGCCCAGCATAGACAATTTTATGTACTCTAGGGGCCCAGAAGTTGATTTCCGATTCCCAACCGGGTAGAACTGAAGAAGGGACAACTACTAAAAAAGGTCCTCTATCATTTTTGGTTTCCATCAGGTAACAAATCAGGGAAATGACCTATATAAAAGGACATTTTTCTTAGGACAAAAAACACAAGCTTAGTTAGGCATTAAAGTTCTTTCTCGAAACCATACCTGAACAGTTTTCCCAAGGCCCATTTCGTCAGCAAGTATGCCATTCAGATGATTGTTATAAAGTGATACTAACCATCTTAGGCCATTCATCTGATACCTGCAGGTCGAATACATTCTTGAACATTTCCATACTAGAGGAAGGCCAGAAAAAGATGTTAGAGAAATGAATCTTCCACTCACTCTCTTAACTTTCCACCCTTTAGACAAGTTGGCTGTTCCGTGATGTTCTCCTTGATGCTGCATAAAATGATGTAACACATAATTCAATATTAAACGTTTTCTTAAAAAAAAAAAGAAATAAACATAATCAGATGGAGGGAAAATGTGAATCCATTATTGGAGGGTAAAAAATCCTTCAAACTAAATAAAAAGAGGAGAAAAAATGATAAAAGGAAAATGAAAATCAATATAAACTGCAGCTCAATCTCTTTACAATAATCCAGACAGATATCCTTATCATGTGCCTTTATCCAAATAGATGGTAAAAAAGTTATCCAATCCCAAAGAAGGGAGGAGATAAAAAGGAATCTTTCAAAATTCCAACTTTTCACTCCAAACCACAACACCCTCGATTCAGCAAAAAATGCCTCATCTCCACTATTCTATACTTCTTGTTCTTCTCATAACATTCGACGGAAGTGGGACACACCAACTGCACAATTGAAGTGCCAAATAACCTCGCCCAAAGCCTCCAAACAACATCACTAGATAACCCTAACCACAGAACATTTATGGACTGTTTAACTTCAGAAAATTCTCTTTACATGAAAGTTTTTCCTTTTATGGAAATAAAAAGAAATATGTTTAGTTGGATGAGAAGTGAAGACATGTTTTGGAAAACTATTTTCCAATTGTATAGACTTCTGAGAACACAAAATTTGTTTTCAAATGAAAACATACAAAACTAAGAAACAGCTACAGTTTATGTCTACTCCCCAATTCCTTTCAATCCCCCCTCAAACAAAAAAATAATAAAAAAGAAAAATAAAAAAGAAAGAAAAATGAAAACTCCAGCAGCACGAAGCCCCATGTCTCCAAATCACTGTATGCCCCCAACCACCCTCTATTTGTCCAATCATATGTTAAAAATGTATTATTATTTCCAAAACAATTTTTAAGTTTTTCCTGTAAACTTTGCTTCTTCAGGAACATTCAAAAAATAGAATAATGATATTTGTTTAAACATTATAACACATTAATCCTCAATATTTAAAAAAAACATGTGAATAAATGCAACTATTATTACTATTACTACTATACAATTAAATGAGTTCACTTATAAGTTTTTTTTTTTTAAATAAAAAGTGTAATATGTAATGCTATGAGCACCAAGAGGTGCAAAACATGTAATGCTACAGTTCACTTATAAGTTATAACATTTTAATTATGAATACTTTTCTAATAACAGAATTATTAAGTAAAGCACGTATGTAAAATTTGAAGTTAGCAAAATTTTGACAACATATAACCTACTCTACTTTTTTAGACACTATGGATCATATAAATAAATAACAAAGAGAAGGAAAAAAAAAGAGTAAAGCATTAATCATATCATGTAAATTTGAGTGCTTTACCAAAGACAATGTATTTCACAACTAACCAATACAGAATGTTGATGGTAAGATTACTAGAGTAACACTATGACAACAATATACTATTATATTTTTAGCACTATAAGGATTTTGTTCATATTTTAAATACCTCCAAGTTTCCTATTATAACTCCTTATAGTTAGATTAGGATTTTACATTAAAACAGTATAAGTATCTTGTGATCTAACCTTTAAGATCAGTCCAGTTTAACAAAAGTCCTTCCAGAATTTTCTCAATATTTTTGGTTAAGTGCAATGTCTAGGAACTTCTTAGAAGTAATATCCAAAAAATTCTAGATTTAATATCTAAAGTTTCCCAAATCTCTGAGTAGGTAAATTAACCCTATATCACGCTACATCATAAACATATTTCTCTTCTTTTTCCTCAAATTCCAATTTCCAATCTTAACAACTAAATGCATTTCTCAAGAAATAAAAGCTGAAATTGGAAAATATAAGAAACTACTTAAACAAGTGAAAAAGCCTTTAGTCTCTGGAGAATAACTCAAGCCAATATTCTAAATAAACATTTGAAAGCGAAAACAATTAAACTTTTAATCACAATAAGAAACAGTTGCACCTGTGCGCCATTTTATAGTACTTCTCATTGCTTTCCATGTAGTGCTGCAAAGCAGATTAATAATGCAAGATAAGGAGAGAGAAATTTAGAAATGAAAGAGAAGTAAATTTTAAAACAAATAAATGTCATAGAAAATTGCCTTGGCCTGGTCACTTTCATCTTCATTCTCAACTGTAGTTTCATTCTTCTCAATAAAATTTGGAGATCGCGTTTCATCCGCATCATTCTCAAAATGCCTAGCCGTAGACTTTGCATCCTGTAGCTTGGACCCAAGTTTCTGAAGATATTTCTCAGTCTCCTTAAGCAGTTGCTTTACACGATCTGATTTTGCATCCTACATGATAGTTAAAATGTCAAGCAATAGACGCAATTTCCATCCCTGTTTCAATACAGTAAAAACAAATCAAACCTGCACCATTCGCAGATATCCCTCCACATCATTTATTTTTAATAAATTGATCTTCTCACGCTGAATTCTGTCAATCTTCTCACGATGGGTACGTTCCTTTCTCTTGTGGAACTCCTTCACGTATTTATTGAAACCCTTCCATCGTTCTCTCCTAATTTTGAATGCATCCTCCAGCCTTTCCCTTAAGTAAAAGGTTTTTTCAGATTTGAAATGTGTAAAGAATGCAATTAAAAAGCAAAGATTCTACATCCCATCCTAACCATCAACCAAGAGAAAACCAGAGAAAGAAACATTAATAATGGCAAGCGAAAAAACACATACTTGTGAACTTCGATTTCACTGAAGAATTCCTTCTGCCTCTCACGAATTCTCCTTTGTCGCTCTTCCTTCATTCTCTGCTCAAATTTTTCAAGTTGTTTTATCCTTCGCCCATGCCTATGTTTCTTATATGTCCTCAGGCGCTCCATATCAGTAGAAATGGGTTTGAAAAAATCATTAAGAAAATCACTGTGGAGAAGACCAAACGAAATTTTCAAGTTAAACATATTTATAAAAGTACATATCAAGTTGGCAAGATAAACACTTTTATATGGAAAATTTAGTTATGGTTTTCGAGATTTTTTTTTTTTTTGAGATAAAAGCCATGGTTTTCAAGATTCAATTTAACTTCTGATAAAAGGAAGGTTATGTCTTCATAATCAAAATCCCTGCACAATCACCTACCGCCGCAAGCGACGTTGAAGCCCCAATAATTGAAGTTTTTTCAGTTCTATTACACTTTTGGTCTTTGCAGAAATATCTTCAGATAAGCTCACATTTTCCTGCATGTTAGTCAACAGAAAGGAGAACATAAACACATGCAAACTAACTCTATGGTAAGAGGATCCATCTTCTTCACCAAACTTGCATGGTATGACACATACAAGAGCTCAAATAGAGAAAACAACTGGAATCATAGATAATTGCCTAAAGATAACAAAGAATGGACCGAAAAAAGATTAAAAGAAGAAAAGATACCCAATGAATCATGATGTCTAATGATGGTAACGCATTACAAATGGAGTTCCACACAGAATCATAATAATGATGAAAAATGATTAACCCCATATTTCCTAACTAATAACAATATAAAGCATCATCTAGTTCCAACCTTTTGTGGCATCATTTTCCTTAAATTTCTAGTTCACTGTTTTGCCAAGTTTCTTATCAACTGATATCATTTCTTCCCCCAGTGAGTTTCACACCGATATACTTCAATGTAAAACAGATGAATATCAATCATCCAAGAACCCTACAGGTTTTTTCTTAACAACAAAAATAACAGAAATCATGTATGTTATACGTCAACAATCAAAAGAAAGAGAACGATTTGCTGCAGGCAAATAACCAAGTATGCAAAGAAACCTTTAATGTGTTAAAACAAGCAGCAATTTTTTTATCGGAATTTTGCTGTCTCAGAACCCAATTTTGCTCAACCAAAAGCTTCTTTTTCTGCTGATCCATAATCCACTTTTCCAACATGGTATACTTTGGTGATGGCAGCAAATCACTAGATATGATCCTATCTTCCTCCTCTTGTTCTTCTCTATAAAAGCTACCATTTTTTGATGTGTCATTAACTGGATTAACATTGGCCCCATCTGAAATGCACCTTGTTTGAAATTCAGATAACTTTGGATCATCTGCAGCAATAGCCAATAAGCAGCAAAAGCTTTAAAAAACAGTTAATGTTAGATTTGCACGACAAAGAAGAACGGTTCTCACCCTGGCACACATGTTTTAACCCCAAATTAACATCCTTCGTTGGAATCATTGCGTGATTCTTGTCAATACCTGAAATAGGTTTCCAATGCTCTCTTTTAGCGAAGGATAAGGAGTTACAATCAGCAGGTTGGTCGTCAGAGAGAGCAGTGTTACCAAAACTGTGAAAACGGCCAGGAGCGTAATCTTTTCTTTCTGCCAATAACTCATTCTGAACAGCAGAACCTGGATGTAGTCCCCTGAAAACTTCATTATGGCTGCCAGTTCCAGGCCAACTCAACAACTCAGGGTTCATTTGCTTATTTATGCCTGTCACAGAAGCCATTTGGTCAGTCCTTCCAACTTGTAAATGGTTGTTTTCAAGGTCATCTATGTGGTTACCAACAGCTGGATCACTCCCTGTACTTGCAGAAATACGTTGTTGAAATTCCACATTTTCCTGGCTTTGCATTTCAGCTTCTGATTTTCTTGCAGCTAAAAGATGTTTCCTTTCATCAGAAACCAGGGAGAGCTCAGAGGTTTGGCAATTCCTGTCCTCCATTTTTGATTTCTCAGCCTCTTTGAATGAGTCAACCTCCAGTGATCTTCCAACAGTTGACCCACCTAAGGGAACTCTATCAGCTGCCCTCACACTATCCACCTTTGGAGATGGCATTAAGACTTCAGGAGTGCAATTAAGCTCATTAGAAGATTGACCTTTCCCTTTAAGATCAACCAATTCTTTGCGGGAGCTGTCTGCATTACCAACCTGATTACCACCAGGCAAACACAGAAAGACTTGAAAAAAGAAAAATATATATTCAAATGACGATGAAGTTAATACCCTCTTTAGGAAAGATATTTCCAAATGCAATCTCAAGGTGCAATTTCTTTGGCATCAAACCGTTTCTGCAAGGACACAACAAAAATAATGATTTGCACTTGATATTCTAAAAACTATACAGTTAGTAGAGAAGCTAATTGAATACAATCATACCTGAAAGCCAAAAAAACAAGGCACTGTGCTCTGAGCTGCTTCAACTGTTGTTCTTTGAAAGGCATAGCAAAAAATGATGATGGCTGAGAGACAGCAGATTTTCCAGTATCTCTAGAAGCTGAAGTTCTGATCATTGACATCTCTGAATTACTATTCTGCCTGCCACCCTATCAACAAAACCAACATACTAAAATGAGTAACTTACTCAAGATTCTACACAAAAAAAAGGACTAGAAACATGGCTAGCCACATAAGTAGAAATAGGACCATGTAATTACCAAACAACACAGAAGTGACATAACCAGAAAATTAGAGCATAACGGTAATTAAATTCTTTAAAAAGTCATGTTATTAGAGTTTGAGTTGTAACAAGCCCTAACCAAATGTGCCTAACCAAATTCGTGCTGTACCCTAACTTGTATCAACAGAACATGCACTACTGGTCAAGAGAATATCAATGGCACATAAGTGATTAACTTTGATTGATTTGAATAAACTATTAAATATATTGTATTTATTGAATTACATTAATGAAATACATAATTAAAATGCAAAATTCACATTTAATTTATAACAACTCCGAAAATCCAAAAGGAATATATAATAATTTAAGTGCGGAAGCGAAATAAAAAGGTTAAGTTTTACATTCCTACACATACTTAAAAGTACTAAACAAAC